TTTGTGAACGTTGTATTTCAGGCCCCACTATCTACCTTAACGGTTGGAGTTCAGTCTATTTGCAACAGGGGTTGTATTCAGAAAGTGCTCGCTGGAAGAGGCAGGTCCAGACTCCTGGAACCTGATTTAACATGTTCAAAGGGGCTGAAGATCAGAGAGATGTTCCTGGGGTGTGGAGGGACTTGGGTAGGTGAGGGTAAGGACCTTGAAATCAATCCACTGGCAGTCAGAGAGCCAGTGGACTTTGTGAGGAGCGTGGTGATGTGCGTATGAGAGGAGGAGAAGAAAGGAGAGTGAAAACTATGGAAGGAAATGAACATGAGTTCATGGATAGACACACGTGGTATCACTGTTGCTGCTGCATCTTTGATATTGGGTGTAAGAGGAAGACTCAGAAATGGTTTAACTGTTGCGGCTCTGCGGCAAATAAAGAAGTCAGATCGAGAGGGGGGACCTGACAGAGACAGAGAGCAGATCTGACTGTTTTGTGCCCTGCATTACTAACAAAAAAACTACTGTTTTGTGAGATTGTTGAGATATCTCCGCCCTTGTTTCGTGAAGCCCGAAGAGCGATTTCCCGATGTGTTGTTGCCAGCCGGGGTTAGTTTGAGCATGGTCATTCTGTGCCTGTGAAATCAGTAAATATTTGCGCGGAAGGAGCAAAGCCTGTTGTAGCTGAAATTGGTCATGCACACGAAAGAGGCTGCTGAGGGCATTTGATATAGATAAGCCGGACAATTGGAAACTCATGACATTCAACATCACATATGTTTGCAGCACTCCCAGACGTCCAGTGTTGATAACCCTGTCCCCCAAAGACAGAGCAATTCAGTTGGTTACAATTCATACAACCCCACACATGAAGGACAGAAACAGAGGAAACTTAAGACACGCACAGGAGAACCATTATCATACCATCCTATGAAGCCTTCCTTCGTATCCCTATATTGTAAACCTGTGTTAAAATGGAAGCCTAAAGAAATAGCTGAAGTAATTTGCCTTCAAGCTCACAAACTTTCCGTCCGTAGGAATGAAATGCCTATTATTTGGCATGGTTACATGTTAGCTACCGTTTAAAGGTTTCACCACGTACATATCGCCTCCACTAATGCAAAATTGATCATTCTTCCAGAAAATAAAAAGCTTTTTCTTCGTGCTTTCGCTCAAGAGCAGTGTCACCATACGTTTAGGTAAAGAGGATCCTGTGTAGCCAGAGGCCAGTTACAAGAAATGTTTTCACAAAGAATGATTACATAACTGCTCGTGAATAATGGCTACCTGTGAGTTAGAATAAGAAAAAAAGGGAGAACTTGCGTTTTTAAGAGTGCTTCTTAAAAGCACTTCACAAGAAACTCCTGGCAAATGTAGTGACTGTTTTTTTTGGTGAGGAAACACGGTATCTACTTGCGCTGAGAGCCTTGAGGGGAATGACAATTGATGATCGAGACAGTGAGAGAAACTCCTGTCTCTCCTTTTGGAATCGTGTTCAAGTATCTTTACATAGTCTAAGCCGACACTCCAATGCAGTGCTGGTAGGTAGGGTGGGCGGGTTGGTGGGGGGTGTGCTTGGGGGGTTGCATTTGTCGGAGGTTCAGTCTTTCGGATGAGGTGTTAAACCAAGGTCCCGTCTGCCTGTTCAGGTGGATGGTAAAGATCCCATGTCACTGTTTGAAAAAAGAAAAGAGTTTCACCCGGTGTCCTGGTCGACAATCCCCCAATTTTTTAAACAAATTCATAGATCTGACACCAACTCTGCTGCCGTATTTGCCTACAAAACACACAGGAGATAGGTAGCCTGGAGATCCTGCAGAAAAAAACCTAGCAGAGAAGTGACATATCACCATAGGAAACCAACAACAACTTGCATTTAAAGAGCGCTCTTCACGTGAGGTTGTGTCTTGGAGCGCTGAACCTGCAGTCAGTTCTACGCATAGCTGAGGAGTGATGGACGGAAGGTGACCGAAGAGGGAGAAATAGATTCCTTCACAATTAGTTTAGTCTAAACTCTAGGTACAAAGACGCCCAAACGTTAAACGTGGCAGATTTATGTTACCCAACAGTAATGTTTAATGTTGTTTCCATTTCCTTGTTGTTTCTCTTTGACCGTGCCTTCAGCTCCCCTCTCCACTCTCTACCCCCTCCTCACTCCCTCCCTTCCCTCCCCTCACCCTGACCATTTCCCCACTGCTTGGGTCCTGACCCAACTGTACAGCGCCTTGGGCCGTCCTCCCGACGTGAAAGGCGCTCTATAGATGGAATCTTGTTGTTGTTGTATTGATTTAACAGGGTAACTGCATTGTGGAGTCCTGTAGGTCAGTGGTTAGAACACTCGCCTCGCAAGCGAGAGGACCTGGGTTTGATTCCCGGGCGGGTAGGGCGAAACGTTGAGCAAGTCTCCTTGCTCCTCGCGCCCCCTGTTTATCCAGCAGGAAGTAGGAACCCGGTTGTTAGTCGATTGGCGGATCGATCGCTTTTCCGGGAGGTAATAACTCCTACAAAAAAATTGGTCGCTCAATCCACGACTGTTTGCGGTGACGCTGCTGTGCGCAATTGGCTGCCGCGTTTCGCCCACAAAATATGCAGTCAATTCGCTTTACAGTAAGTCAGTGAAGTTACTCGCGAATTTGTGAAGCGCTTTGAGACGTCTTGAAGAGGTGATAAGGTCCTATATCAAATGCAAGGATTATTATTATTATTATTAATAGTTATTATCTTTGCTATTTCGCTAGCTGGGCGAAACAAAACGCTGATCAGTTTAGGAACCTTCGTCTTAATGTCTCAAATAGTAAGAGAACTTCTGCCGAAACAAACTTGACGCAAAAAGTATGACTTTCTTTGTTTTATTCTGTCTCGCGACACAGTTTGAGTGAAAATGAATCAACCCTAATACTAATGGAATATGGCACCACCGAGAGCAAATTATTCACAATCTTTCATTCGTGTAAAAGTCCACTGGAACGCACACTCTCCGGCAGTGCTCGTGAGTTATAAATCTTTCATATTCGGAAAGGAGTTTAAATAGCTCACGTAATATCCTGAGCTGGTACTTTGTAGGTTTTATTACAGGGCTGTAAGGGACACCTGCCAAAAGGCTACTAAAAGTTTAATAGTTATGAATGTTATATTAAAACTGTCAACAGCAGGGGATACGTGTCTGTTGTAATCCGAAATGTCTTTCAACAGTTGCACACTAATCAAGCCGGAGCTTAATGCAATGTTCAGTAAATTTATTCTGCGCTCGAAACGGTGGGGTGGGGGGGGGGTTTTGCAAGATGTTTTCCGACGCGAAAGGAGCAATACAAACGCAATGTGTTGTTGTTGTTGTACTCGGCCTGCGGGGGAAGTGAATTACACGTGGATGAATTGCACCGACCAAGTAAAAAGGCATTTGCGATTTTGTATTGCTCCCTCTGAGTGAAGTTCGAAGCCATTCCAGTCCGAGGTTTAGATGCAGAATGCATTTTTAATGATGTACAAGGTTCAACACTGTGGCACTTAAAACACCAGAATTTAACCAGAGCGTTTCCGCAAATGGACCTGGAATTTTTGGTGAGTCTGTTTGAGAAATTAAAGGTCGTTTTGGACTCCAATGGTAGGCGTTCGCCTCCATCTCTCAATAGGTCTGGATTCAGGAAGTTTGTTTTTCATTATCGACCTGTCAAGCTAAAGAGATTTCGAACATAGACAGTCCACATTCATTGTGTTGCTTCGTTTCATTGTCTTGTTTCGCATTTCATCAACATAGTTGTAGTCAATCGTCTTGAGTCTATAAACATTTTTTTTCTGGAAGTGCGGAGGTCGTGCAAAGCATCGTGTGTATTTTTTTTTGGTGTCTTCTTCCATTGCAAAGAAAAGGTCGGTTGCATTTCTATTTTTCCTGTTCCATTTCATGTAATTATGACTTCCGGACAACGGTTAATTGTTGAGACCAGCAGCTGATTAATACAATAAGAAACACTCCCGGTTTGTCCCGTGTTCTTGACCTGCAACACACGTATTGCTTTGTTTGCGAGAGGGTGAAAGCATTTTATATCCCACACGATCAACTTCAATCACTGCGGAACTTTCTCTGAGGACTTGGTGAGCTTTCCTAACTCAACGAGTAACGCCTAATAAAGTGAGGGTTTGCTTAAAGTCTTCACCTGTTTTCCTCAATGTTATTTCTGGATTTCCTGCTGGTCACACCTTGACGTTCTTTCCTCCCTTCTTCCCCTTTGTACCCATGAACGTGAAAGACTGGAATTATAAATTATTATATCAAAGCTGTTTTTGAAACATTGCGATTTTAGCTCCAAAGATTTTCGCAGTTGCCTCCACCTCGCATTGCAGATGGCCATTATGTAATGAACTATCGAAATGACTGTTGGGGAGAAAATCCACCCGGATCTAGATTTACTCCAGATCCTGATCATTGCAGAGCAACCGAGAGTTGGCGATTGTTGAATTCTGTCTCACCTTTGAAGCTGCTTTTCTGTACTTCTTGAGAACTACGTCCTTTATTTAGGGTCTTGCCAAGTACTGGCTCGCTCTGAAATGTTAATAATAACTGTTGCCTTTGATAACAGCGCCTTATCCCAACGTTAAGATATCTCAAAGCGCTTCACAGAACACATTGTAAAGTGAACTGACTGTAAACGTTGTGGGCGAAACGCGGCAGCCAATTGCGCACAGCAGCGTCCCCACAGACAGTCGAGGATTGAATGACCAATTTTTTTTTGTTTGTTGGGGAGGGATTTTCACCGGCAAGTGATCCTCCAAACGTCTTAACAACCGGGTTCCGAATAAATGCTCGGTAAACAGAGGCGTGCGGAGCGAGGAAATTTGCCTGAGGTTTCGCCCCACCCGGGAAATGCTAAGAACATAGCGTGAACCCGAGTGGAACATCCACCGCCAGAAGATTCGAGTTGCCTCACCGGAAAGTCGAGTGTGGCTTGATATGTCTCTGTGTCGCGGGTAAATGTGCACGATTGTGAAACGCATGTCACTTCTGTTTGTGACAGGAACAGAAGCAACAGTCAAAGAAAGCGATCTCGTCACGAGCGGACAAATGCACGCAGACAGAAATCAGCAGTCACGATGTGAGTACCTGCTTGCCTTGCTTACCTGCTCCCTGTTGCTCCGATCACACCCGGCCTATTTGTGTGTGTGCTTCTTGCCTGTTCTCGTGCCTGTGTTTAATGGGGTGCGGAGAAATAACGTCCGTCTTTTTTGTTTGTTCCTCCGTTGGGTTTTAAGACCTCCTACTTCGGAATTAGTTAATTACAGATCAGGGTGTACAAGAGCTGGGCTACAGCTCGCTAAATTGCTTGTTTTTGCCCGTAAATACAGTGGTGCAAGTTAAGTCAAAAGGATTTTTAAAAAAAGATACCCGAATGAAAGACTTATTGCAATCAAACCTTAAAAATGATGATCTGTCCTACCTAGCCAGTGACTTGAGAAATGAGGTGACCGGACTCAGCTTGGTCAGGTCACAGAGGTAAATGTCAGGCTGGTTTACCGAAAGGATTTCAGCAATCGATTTGATAATTACTAAATGGCGCTTCCCAGATGTGACAGACTCCTCACCAGCCTGCTTCCGCCCCACCACCCCACCCTGCCTTCCCGTACCTCTCCCGCAACAACCTCCGCCACTCTGCCTTACGTTCCCATCGGTGACATCAGTGAAACTGTGTTCACGGCGCTGAATTTCTGAACCACACCATCAGCGCTCCCGGTTGGCGGATGGCAGCGGTTTAACTGCACACAAACTTAAGAGTGGTTGGTATCCCACTTAAGGGGCTGGGCAGTGTTATCAGTTCCAGGTAAGTGTCAGGTTTGAGAGATCGAGATTGGTTTCGAACTGAACTGAGCTCCTCATTCTGCCTTGCAGCGGGCGGGCAACAGACTAGATTCTCCCTGTTTTTACACATGTCCCTGCATAGGTTACAAGACAAGGCACCAATTTCAGCCTGCTCGAAATTGTCTCTCGATTACACCCTCGCCTCCAATCTCCTTTCTTATTGGGAAATAGCACTTGACTGGAAACGGCCTGTCATTAATTTGGCAAAGGAGCAATTATAAAATTCACCAGCTGTGTTTTGCTTTTTCGATGATATGTTGGTGAGGCTGGAGCGAGTTTCCTGCTGCTAAAATATGAAAACCTGCACGCAAGGCATAATACCCACTGCTCCAAGTTGAATGGAAGCCAAAGTCAATTCTGTCAAATCTCCCAGCCACAAAGTATTCATTTGAGAAACAATTAGGTGAAGTTGCTGGGGTGGGTTTCATACGAATCGTTGTGCTGATGCGGTGGGGGAAACATACACCTCAAATCTCTTCCCCACCCCACAGCTCAATAGCATCTTTGCACACTGTGGTGTTTCTCTGCGAACGGCGAAATTGTCATTTGAGCGCAGCCAGAAGAGGTCGTTGGTGTAATTGGGTCACCGTTCTGTGAAAGGCAATTCCAAATGGTCTGATGGTCAGAGAACGAAGATCGCAGCAAGAATAATGGCGTGAAAAAAAAGGCTGTTTCGCTGCTGGTTAGCCACATGGTGTGTTTCTTTACTAGACCAGAAATTCCGGGTGAAACTGCTGCTCACTACCCGGGCAGACACATGCTAGTCAGATATCAACCAGGCAACTCGGCTGGAGATAGGCTGGGAGCAAAGGTCCCACCTCCAGCAAACATGGCCGGTAACTTACTAATTAATCGACACGTTACAATTTTCTAAATGCAAACCCATGTTGGGCTCTTAATCCGTTTCATGAGATAGAGAAGGAAATGTGACAACCTGATGGAAAGCTCCCTGCGTGAAGGGAAAATGTTGCAAAGACTATTTTTTTCCGCCTGTCGTCTGATTAGTGCCCGGAATTTGTGGTTTTGCATTTGTTTTTCATGCGAACAATTACGGTTAATCGAGACTCTTTCAAACAAAAACAAAGACTATTTTAAACAAAGATGTTGTCAAGTTGCTCGTAAAATTTAATGTGGTGCTTTCGAGACAAGGGGGTGGATGTTCGGATGATCAGGAGAAGCTTGATTGAGATATGTCAGGACTGACAAACCAGACTGAGAAGGAGAGAATTCCTTTGCTGCATTTACCAGAAGGTTAGTGCTGTGCTTACAGCCAGAGTGAACCTTCTTTGCTCCCAGTGGTGCAGCTGGACGGAGAGGGAAGCCTGATTTATACTCTTCGCTCTACATCGTTGCTGTTCAAAGAAAAAGCGCAGGTTGCCGAGTTCTGTGAACGTGTGGATCCGTTACCTCAGCAGAACACAGATGTCAGCTGCTGTCTATAATACCGGTGTAATAACCCACAATTAAGTTGTTCATAATAGAAACATGGAACTGTCATCTGCTCGAGTCTCTTGACCCGCAGGACTCCCTGGATGGTCAGGGGCGGCTTGAGAGCTTTCAAAATTTGGGTTGGGTGAGAAGGTTGGGTGAGAAGCTGCTGAGATTTTTCACCCATCCGTGTTCACTAATAATAATAATTACGCTAAGGATTATAATCCTTACATTAGGTGTAGCACCTTCCATATTGGGTGGTCATCGGAAAGCGCTGCACAGGTAACAACTGTTAGTGGAGTGACTGTGTTATTTGTGTTTGTTATCTAAAGACGTGTGTGTTTTTGTTCAGGGGTGAAAACCTGCGGGTCTCTGGGTACGGAAATCCAATGGCTTTCCCGCTGGCTGGCCCGATCCCCATTCGTGCGGCACATCTTCTGGTGAATGATTGTCAAACACGCAGCATGAACCCATCGATGGTATTGGATAAACCCAGCGAGTGCACATTTGACTTCAACTTTCAGGAGTTTTTTGTTTTCTTATTGGGTACCGTTTGCCCAATACTTGGGTTTTGTGGGTTTCATTCTTGTTATTGTATGACTGTGATTTCTGGTGGTGTGGTATCACTGGTCATAATTACCACATTTTTCACCCCTAAAATCATGAAATAACACAGCTTGCCAACGAATACACGTGTCTGGAACCATCTTACTTGTTAGAGTTTGGGCTTTTAGTGGGAAGAATCCCTGCGTGCCATGACTGGGACCCTTCCAAGTCCTACCGATGGGCCTTGGGCTGTCATCAGCAGTGCCCTGGAGTACCACAGACCTGCCTGGCTCAGGGAACAGACCACCGAGACCGCCACAGAGGGTTGACTCAATTCCTGACATGCTGAGCATGTCACCATCGAGCCAGTTCACCTCCAAGGAGACCCCACTTACCTACCCAGCAACCGCCCACACCCTTCCTCCCCATTGTATTACTGTGAGAGAGTCCAGAATGCTAAAAGCGGTTGACTTTCATTCCACGAGGTCACTGCGAGGCCTGTCACTTCCCGCACATGACAGAAAGTCACATTGATAGCAAACTCAAGACTCAGAAGTCGGCCTTTGTGTTACGCCCGTGCAAAATGGTTGGTGCATTGGAACAAGCCAAAAAGGGCAATGAAATGGACTTTCACAGCCCCGTTATATTGCAGTTTCATATGGATTTTCGGGATCACTGCTGGTCACTGCCTTACAGCGGAGATCCACTGTACGATCAAATAGTTCTTCGGCTCTCATATTGTCACCCGCGAACGGAATAAAGGAAGCGGCTCAGGACTTAAAGAGTCCTCAGTGACTCCATTAATTCTTAATGGCCCAAAGTAAGCCTGTCATGCAGCAACTTTGGTGGTCTAAGTGAATGGGCACAGAGGAGCATAACCGAGTAATACAAAACAAATGGAAAGCAATTTTTGTAATTAAATGGGGCGATTATGAGTAATATAATAAGTAATGTTGCCACTGGGGATCAGTTCACCTTTAAGGAACATTAAGCGATAATTAGCTCTTTAAACTTTTCCATTAAAATATCTTCATTATGGTATTTAACAAATTATATCCTCCTGGGTGGGGGCGAGTGGAGTGGGGGGGGATGGGGGGGGGCTGTATTTTTGTGTGCAACAACTGAGTACAAGAAAAGTACGGTGTCACATGTAGAGGGTAAAGAGCTGGATATTCGCGACAATAATAATAGTGGAAAAAAAAATCAACATTGTACAATCCGAATCTACCGCTTGAAGCTATGGTCTTGTTCCGGACTCCATTTGCTACAGTCGTTTGTGAGTTAGTCAGTGAGGCAAAGCTTATCGCTGCAGTTTACGAGTTGGCGCAATTGATTATTTGTTGCCCTTAAGAGTGGTGCGATGTTGCAGCCCGGTATAACAATCCGGAAAGAAAGCGTGCTCGCCCATTTGAAGACCGCGGTTGAACTCATTGGGAATGCTCCAGAAGAGCGTAATGCTCTTATTAGGGTTAGGGTTGTCCCGAGTGGAAGAGGGTTGTTCAAAGACTTCTTCGACCGTTGTGCTCTTGAAGAAGCTCTGAGTGTTGAAGTGTGTTGGCTGATTCATTCCTCACTGTCGCTGCATTCAGCTTGACGGTTGGGCGTCAACCTACGTGAGATGAGCAGCTTTGTCGTGCCGCTTCTGGAAGCAGCCCGCGAACGGTGTGGAGATTACTAGGTTAGTGAGTGACTGAGTCACTTTAATCTCTCTTTCCTGCTGAAAACCCCACAGTGGGTCGCTGGTGAGTGCCTCGGTTTAATTCATTCGACTTCTAATCTGTTCCTGAAGGTGTCAGGCTTGCTCAGTGGGTGGCACGCTCACTTCTGAGTCAGAAGGTTGTGGGTTCGAGCTCCATGTTTTGGACCTTGAGCTTACAGTCTCGGCTGACACTTCGAATGCACTGCTCAGGGAAAAGGTGCCGTCCTTTGGAAAAAATGTTAAAGCGAAGTTCTGTCTGCGTGTTCAGGTGGACGTTAAAGGTTTCACGATACCAAGCAAAAAAAAAGGGAAAGGAATTTCTCCTGTTCTCCTGGACGACGGTCCTGCAGATAAAATTAGTCATTCATTTCATGGTTGTTTGGGAGGCATTGCTGTGTCCAAGTTGGTTGCTTTGTTGCGCTTACAAAATATACAGTTATACAGTCAACGACAATAATCGCTGATTATTCATGACTCTCACTGCATTTAAAAGAGCCTTTCATGTTGGTAAGATTGTCTGAAGGCACTGAGGTTCAGAGTAAAAATCCTGTGAAGTGTTTCGA